AATCACAATGTGCTGTTTGTATAGAGGTGTAGTGTGCTCTTCAGCTTTGCATTTTATACATTTTCCCTTAAGTACAGATTTTAAAAACTAATGTAACAATGTTGGAATTTTCTTTTCTCAAATCCATCAAGGGGACTCGGCTGCTCTGAGTCCCTGTCGGGGTCAGAAGGGCAGTGTTGTACACCAGAGCAGGAACACCTCTGACTTGAAACACCACACCAGCTTGGTAAAATCAGTAAGCTGTTTATTGTAGAATATATGTAGCCAAAGCAGTCAAAATAGTAAAACAGTAAAAGTCCAAAATTCAAGATAATCCATAAACGTTAAAAGGAAACTAGGTCCATTAGTACATAGAAATCCATGAAGCAAGGCACTTGAAATATGGAACAAAACAGCAAGAACTCTCAGGCAAAAACTTAGACTTGGCAACAACTTGATACATGAAACATAGAGCACTTGAAAACAAAACCGGCATGAATTAAAGACGTTGACTCAACTAAGACACTAACTTCTCATGAATCATTATAAACCCTTTCCAAAGGCCGAAACTGACAAAAAAGCGTTCTTTCTCACTTTCCCACTAGATAACGGTTTGTTATCTTTCTTTTCTTGTAGACAAGCAGAACACCTAGATTCTGAAAATTCTGCCTCTGTTTACTTAAACTTTGTTTTCTGTCCAAGGTTTCACTATCATCCCCTGCACCTGGCAAAGCAATCTCATCATCATTTTTCAGGCTGCTGTTCTGAGAAAAGCAATGAAAGGTCTTTCCCAGGAATGTGACCTGAACTTAACTCTGGTACGGGAAAACCCGCATCCTCAGGTCCATCATCAGGAACATAATCCCAATTCCCATTATGCACATCAACATGAACATCGTTTCTAACATAAACATTATCATGAGCATCAGACACAATCACAGGCTGAACAGGATGACATACAACAGGCAGGGTATAAATATGTAAATAAATAAATCAACACATTAGCCACAAGTGCATAGCAAAAACTCCAAGTTACTTAAAAGCTGTGTTGCATCTCAAATTGTTGAGCCCTACTGCCTCATCTGCCCCATTACTTCCTAGTTGAGTCTTTCGGTAGAAGACTGAGGCAAATAAGATGTTGAGTAGTTGTGCCTTTTCTTTGTTTACACTATCAATTTAATGCCATTCAAAACTAGCTTCAAACTGTAGCCGCCAGACAACAAACTCCCGCAAGGCATACAAAAAAACCCTTATTGTGCAACAGTGCTCTATGATTTATGTAATCATCATCCAAGACTCAAATGAGTTCCAGGATTCCCTATCTGCATTGCAAAATCACTTTATTCAATGCCAATTTGAAATGATATTAAATGGTCAGTGTAGATAGGGCCTCTGTGTCCTTTAGGATTTCATCATCTCTAGTACACACACAGTGACCCAACCATTTCCTTGTTCTTTTTGCTATGGACATAACTCAAAGAGCACTTTTTATTGTTTTTAATCTCCTTAGCAAGCTTGAGCTCATTCTGCTTTTTTAACCTTCTCCATAATCATGCTGGGTATTTGTTTGAATTCCTCTTTGGTGATTTTTTTCCTCTTCCCACTTCTTCTCCATGTAACTTTTAAATCGTAGCTCAATTGAAAGTTTCTTGGACACCTGGTTTCTTTAGACATCTCTTATTTTTCCTCCTTATTCAAACTGTTTGAAATGGTCTTCCAATATATCCCTTTTCAGAAACTATCATCCATCATGAACTCCAATTAATATCAATATAGTTAAAACCTCCCATCATTACCATATCTCTCCTTTCTGAATGTATAATCATCTGTTCTAGGAAGGCATCAGCCAAGTCCTCTGTCTTGCTTGGATGTCTGTAGTAGACCCCTACAATGATATCCCTATCCCCCCCCCCCCTTAATTTTTACGATATCCTCAACCTGGCTTCAATAATGAGCCTCCTAACAGGTGTACACATCCCTGATATACAATGTTACTCCTTTTCCTTTCCTGTTTTATTTATTTTTTAGAAATAGATTATACCCATCTATTACTACATTCCAAACATAAGACTCACTCCACCATGTTTCAGTGATGCCAATCATTGCATAATTGCTTAGTTTGAGTAAGAGTTCATTTTCATTTCGTTTATTTCCCATGCTTTTGTGAATTAGTGTAGAGACACCAAATACAACGGGCGACTCCTCTACCTGTTTATTTGTTCTTTTTGTTGAACTCTTGTACTTTTTGCCTAGTTCTCCTTATCAGTTAGGGTGTTCTCTAAAATAAACTCCTGCCTACCCAAATGCTACCTGCTTCTTTCAGGAAACTCAGTTTAAATCACTCTTGATCAGATTTGTGAAACTTTGAGCAAAACCCTTCCTGCCAACCTCCGTGAGGTATAAGCCATTCTTTGCCAGAGGCCCAACTTCATTATGGCTCAGAACATGGTCCAGGAAGCCAAATCATATCTGTCGGCACCATCTGTGAAGCCAGAAATTCACTTCTATTACCCTTCTATCCCTTCCTGGGATGTCCATGAATTGGGAGGAGAGACAAAATAATGGCCTGAGCCTCAAAGTCCTTCAGTTTCCTACACATAGCCTCATGATCCCATGCGATCTTCCAAAGACTGCATCTTGTATTATCATTGGTTCCCACATGGACCAAAAGGAAAGGCTAATGCTTGAGGGCTTTGTCAACTTCCCTGTTACATCTCATGTTTTTACGCCAAGGAGATGGCACACTTCTTCAGTCATCCTATCAGGTCTAATAAACCACTGCTTCTTAAAAACAGTATACAGTATAAATATAAAGAAAACTTTATAAACAATTTAATGGTCTGTAAAGTAAATAGAAAAAGAAAAGCTTGGAATGATGAAAGAACCTTTCAGGAGTACTTACCAACATGGAGCTATGGTCATGGAATTCTGCTACTTCATCATACTTGGGCAAATTGCTCCTTTGAAGCATTTTGGGGGGAGGCTGCTGAGTACCACCCCATTTATGCTCCAAGTGCTGAGGACGTGGTGCAAGACCTTCCTCAATAACTACAGAGAGCTATGTGGGTTTTGGGTAGCTTCAATGGAGCTACCTACATTTTTGGTGTCTTTCCCCCATCTGATGGGGGAAAGACCAATGTGGCAATGTGCATTGCCACCTTTTCCCTCATCTGATGGGGACAGGGTGCAAAGACACCTTGTTCTGTTGTCCCTGTATAATGGGAGAAGGAGGGAGGGTGCATGGGGCATCATGAGGCGCCATGTGCTACTGCAGGTGAAAAATGAAAGTTTCATTTTCAAAAGCCTCTGTGAGTTAACTGGATGCCATTATGTCAGTGAGAACCTTTGTGTAAATATCTGTGAGATCATGCATTTCTATATGTATATAGTTTATATACACACACAAAGGCATGCAAACACACCAACATAGTTCGGAGAAAAGGTGACTTGCAAGACATATTGGCTTCTTTGATCTGGGTTGTCTCAGAATATTATAAACAGGAGAGGGGTGTCAAATGCAGCTAGGAGTTATACCAGAATCTGTGTAGCAATTCCACATTTATAGTGTTCATTATTTTAACTGTGGATGAAATTCTTCAGTGAGCCTCCTTCCTACTTCTGTTAATGAAATCCCAGTCACATACACCATTCTATTCACATTTCTATTGCTGTTTCCCCTTTCACTTGCTGCCACCTGCTATCTTGCCAATTTAAAGCCAATGAGCAAGTAAGTGGTCATAGCTGCTCCTTCTTTTATTCAGCAGTCTTTGTCTTATTTATCAATCAAAGACCTCTGAGGACTACTTATTCTTCCTTCAGGCAGAATAATTCAGGATGCACTATTTTCCAAAATGGTGTTGGTTCTGAAAGCCAAAGTCAAATGATCCAAAATTATCAGTCAATGTTGTTAAAAACAAACTCTAATATGCAAGATTTAATCCAATAATACCTGTGGCAAGTTATATTCTCCCAGGCCCAGTTGTTGCTCACACATTCCAGCAAAACCAAACAGTTCATTCCAAATACTGAGGCTAAGTTATCCAGTAGGCTATAAATCACTGCTGCCAGTAATCTCAGACTAGAGAGAGGCATTGAACCTCAAACTTGAAAATTATTGGTGAAACTTTTTTTCTGATTTTATTAATAGAAAAGTAAAGGTTTCCCCTGACATTAAGTCTAGTCGTGTTTGACTCGGGGTGTGTGTATGTGCTCATCTCCATTTCTAAGCTGAAAAGCTGGTGTTGTCCATAGACACCTCCAAGGTCATGTGGCCAGCATGACTGCATGGAGTGCTGTTACCATCTCGCAGAAGCAGTATCTATTGATCTACTCACATTTGCATGTTTTCTAATTGCTAGGTTGGGAGAAGCTGGGCCTAACAGAGGGAGTTAACCCTGTTTCCCGGATTTGAGCCGCCAACCTTTCAGTCAGCAAGTTCAGCAGCTCAGTGGTTTAACCCGCTGTGCCACCAGAGGGTCTTATTAATAGAAAACGTTGTAGTTAAAAGCTGATCAAGTACCTAATTACAGGAGTAATGGATCAAAATTGTCTCAAAGCTTCTCTGAGTTATCTTGCATTTTAAAAGAGGTAATCAATCACCCTCCACTGATTTTGGTGATCAATCAGGGTGCTTATTTCAGTTTCAGCATTTTAGTTATAAGTAGTACTCTTGTTCAGGCTTTAATATATTTCAAAATTTCAAATGTTAATTTGTATATAAATCCCCTGTCCGACACACCAGAAAGTGTAGTTGCGGCAGTGCGCATTCCCTCTACCTGCCATTTTGCTAAGGCTGTTTCTCCCCAGCAGCATCTGTCCTTGATGCACCCCAGATGCAAGTTTGGCTGGCTGACCAATCAGTAGGAAGCTGCCAGGCTCTTTCTAATTGACCAGAAGGGGGTGGACCTGAGTGAAAACATCAGTAACACTGAACTTATTCTCAGCTTCTTACAACTATTTGAGACGAACAGATAGAATTTTGAAAACTACACAATTATGTCATTGATAGGATGATAAATAAGATGAAAGAAATGTCAATTATGACTGATGACCAAGGAAAATACAAGCCCTATTATACTAATTTCTCACCTGCTCACTGGCTTTATTGTCATCCAAACACTCTGGAAGGTTTTGGGAAGCAGAAGAGCTATTGTTGTTCACAGCTATGTTTGGATCCGCCACAGAAAAAACAGGAATGAGAGGTCGAAGAAATCTGAATTCACTGGTCAGGGATCCATTGGTTAAACACACATCATATTGATAATTCCTGGAAAGTGATCCACTCTGAGAATCGGTACCATTCTCTGGAATAGCGGGCGGGAAGTGAGGAGGAGCAACAATAAAACTGCTTCCGTGGTCTTTCTTGCACAACTTGATCCCAACAAAGGAAACAATACAAAGGAGAAATACAAAAGAGACAGATGCCAGGCAGATCACCAAATACATTGTCAAGGTTCCCTCATCTTCAGGGTCCTGCTGACGGACATCCACCACCTTCAAGTAAGGATCAGAAAAGCCATCAACCAGAAGAATATTGAGCATTGCAGTGCTTGTTTGAGGAGGAACACCATTGTCTCTGACTGCAATAACAAGCCTCTGTTTGTTGGTATCTTTCTCAGTGAGTGGTCTTCTGGTTTTCAGTTCTCCATTCTGGGCTCCTATGCTGAAAAGACCTGGGTCTGTGGCCTTCAGGAGTTCAAAGGAAAGCCAAGAGTTCTGACCAGAATCTCCATCCACAGCCACCACTTTGGTGATCAGGTAACCAGCCTCTGCCATCTTGGGAAGCAACTCATTGCAGGGGGATGTACTGTTCTGAAGGGGATACAGAAAGAAGGGAGCATTGTCGTTTTCATCTGTAACAATGACATGAACAATTACATCTGAGCTCATGGGCGGATTACCACTGTCCGTTGTCTTCACTGTAACTTTGAAATCTTTAATTTTCTCATAGTCTAGAGATCGAAGGGCATACATGTTTCCTGTTTCAGAGTTGATGGAGATGTAAGAGGCTACGGGACCACCACCAATATTCCCAGGTAAAAGAGAGTAGGACAGTTTGCCATTCTGTTCTGTATCCAAATCAACAGCCTGAACTGACCCAATAAGTAGTCCTGGAATGTTATTTTCTTGTATCCACATTTCAAACAAAGACTTTTCAAATACTGGAGCATTGTCATTGACATCTGAGATCTGCACATGAATAATTCTTGTTGAGGTGAGCCTAGGAGATCCACGATCAATTGCTGTGATGGTGACATTGTATTCTGCAACCTTCTCTCTGTCCAGGGCACTTTGAATTAGAAGCTGGTAAAAGTTATTTGTAGTAACTTTTAATACAAAGGGCAAATTCATATCCAGAGAACAAAGAGTTTGGCCATTGTCTCCAGAGTCTTGGTCTTTGACACTAAAAAGGACAACGAGTGTCTCAAGTGGAGAATCCTCTGGCAAAGGGCTGTTGATTGATATGACTGAAACTTCTGGGGCATTGTCATTCATATCCTCAACTTCCACCAGGACCTTGCAGTGCCCTGAAAGACCACCTCCATCTGTTGCTTTAATAGTCATTTCATAATTGGTTTCTTTTTCATAATCAATTTCTCCCAAAACAGTGATTTCTCCAGTCATTTCATTCAAATTGAACAAATTATGAATTTTTTCAGGTATTCGATAGAATGAGTAGGTGATTTGAGCATTTGATCCAAAATCCAAATCTCTGGCTTCTACTCTCAATACCAAAGTATTCCTTGGACAGTTTTCCTTCAATATTGCTTTGTACTCAGACTGAGTAAATTCAGGAAAGTTATCATTATTATCCAGAACATTAACATTAATTTGAATTGTGCCCATTCTCTGGGGTACTCCTCCATCAACAGCTGTAAGTGTCAGCTCCAAATGTGGCTCTTTCTCTCTGTCCAGTGCTTTCTCTAGGATGAGATCTACATATTTGCTTCCATCAGTATTGCTTTCCAGACCTAGGTGAAAATATTCATTGGGACTGAGGGTGTAGTTTTGGATGCTGTTTTCTCCCAGGTCCTCATCCCGGGCAGATTCCAAGGGGAATCTTGTCTTTGTGGGAACGTTCTCGGGAATTTCAAACTGGAAAACATTTTTAAAGAATTTTGGAGCATTGTCATTAACATCCTCTACCTTTATTTCAACACTATAAATCTTCAGAGGGTTTTGGAGCACAATTTGAGAGACAAGTAAACAGGGTTCTGTCTGTCCACATAAAGTTTCTCTATCTATTTTGTCATTTATAAGCAGATTTCCAGAGTGGGTATCAAGGCGGAAATACTGCTTAGAGGTTTCAGATACTAGCTGGGCTCTGCGAGCAGAGAGCTCCCTGACTCCCAGTTTCAAATCCTTCAAGACGTTAGCCACAAGAGAGCCAGTTTTCTTCTCTTCAGGCACAGAATAATGGATTGAGACACACAGTACATCTGTAACACAAAGGAATAGTAAAAAGCACAGACCTTGTTGATTCTTGAAGTAGTCTTCCATGGTTCAAATCTCTTGCTCTCAATCCTTTTTGTTTCAATTTCTGATGCAAATGTAAGGACTTTGTCTGATGAAGAAATTAATTTTCTTCTGCTAATTGGAGTAATCCACTGAACATGATCTTTTTTCATACAAAGGTTAGCGATCCCCCTTCTGGAATAATTCTGCCCACAGTTCTCTGTGAATTGCTTTGCACATGAAAATTCTGTTTTCAGTTATCTATTGGCCTATATTGCCACCCTGTGGCTGAATGTTGCTGCAGCCATTAGGACTCCTTATTTCTCACTGAACACAGTGTACAATAACCTTAATTTAAAAGTTTTGGATAGCGGGTTAACCACTCTTCCTTCCAGCTGATTTGTACCAGAAAGCTTCTGAATAATCACATATGAGCCTTGTGCTATAATTTGAGTTGAATGAAACAAAATCTTTGTCCAGAACCTGGAAACACCCACATACACCAAATACCAAACAATTTTATTGATTAGCCAGTTGGCCTTATGAAAACAGACAGTGCAAACACAACATACAACATAGAATTTGTTTTCTTAAAATAAAATACAAATATACAGGTGTATGTTAGCTTGAAACCAATGTAGCTTACATGAAGATATATGCATCAACTATCCTCGTCTCCCCTACACTGCACCCCAATCAGATCTATGTACTCTGATCTCCTTTTAGCAGCTTTAAACAAATAAAGGGCATCTACATACACATTTGTTATAACATACAAATTTGTTATTTCCTGTTAATCTTTTGATCTGAAGACTTACAATTTTTCAGTTTTATAATTGACAGATATAGAATAATGATGCGGGGCCTTTTTTCACTTTACCAGGAAAAAGCAAATATGTTGCCTTGGTTATTATGCTCAATGTGCGTTCAACAACTTGAACAAAATGAATCAGCAGCTCTTGAATATTGCTTTCATGTAACTAAACATTGTAGAAAGACACTTCCATCTCTTGAATGTGTCACTGACATTAGGAATATTAATAATTGTCATAGAAGTGAATTAGGGGAAAACCCCTCTGGGTGGCTGTAGTGATGGTTCTATACTCAGAGACATGTTCTCTGTCCAGAACTGTTGGGTCACAAGCTGGAAGCAATTGTTCTCAATGACACTTAGTACAACAGGCAGGTCTGCCTCAGTAGTACAAAGAAATCCTGCTATGGCTTACACACAGTTTCTTTCTGGGACACAGAAGAGGAATACCACAGCATCTACAAAAGAGTGTTTTGGAAATAGACCAGCGCTATATGCTTTAGTCACCTCCAGAACTGTCATTCTAATCCGCAACCTCTACAATGATTTTGTAGTGAGCAGAGAATCCTCTCCTATAGGTAGCTCTGCCCACTTCAATTGTTGCTATAATGTTCAAGTTAGCCAGTGTGAATGATCTGAACACTACAAATATTAGATATCTGCATAGAAACAAAATCTTTGCTATTTATTGCAGTTGTTGGTGCTTGAGACCAAGGCATCCAATGTGATCTTTTTTCATCAGTTTCCCTTCACATAGAAAAGTGTCAAACAGAGAAAATGTATTGTTAACCTTCAGAACAGATTATTAGACACCTATTAAGCATCTCTTCATCCACAAATATTCATCTCCAATATCAGTTATGTATACTATTGTTGTGCATACTATTGGAGGCTGTAGTGGCACAGAGGGTTAAACCACTGAGCTGCTGAATTTGCTGACCAAAAGGTTGGTGGTTCAAATCTGGAAAACGGGAGTAAGATCTCGCTGTTAGACCCAGCTTCTGTCAATCTAGCAGTTCAACAACATGCAAATGTGAGTAGATCAATATGTACCGCTTCAGTGGGAAGATAATAGCACTCATGCTGGCCACATTACCTTGGAGGTGTCTATAGATGCCAGCTCTTTGGCTTAGGAATGGAGATGAGCACCACCACGCACAGTCAGACACAACTAGACTTAATGCCAAGAGAAAACCTTTACCTTTTATACTATTGTTATGATGGTTTTGCACATCTGTTCCATATTGTTCATAAGGAGTAAATGTATTTTTGTCTGAATCTGAGCCCTTTCCAGAAGAGGTTATATATTCACTTGAGTCTTCTCAGATAATCTGAAAAGATCTGATTTGAAAAATTAGGAGAGTTATTGACAATCCCTATTACAGGTTCAGTCCTGTGCTACTATGGTGGCACAGGACTGAATGATTTGAATAGACTTATCCTTCAGCTAACCAGAGATTATTGGACTATTTTTTTCATGTAATAGCACATTCTTAAATTTACTTATTAGGTGTGATTTTTTTTGGTAACGTTTAGAGTCTAACAAGCTCACACAGCAACTACCTCCTTGCAGTCCACTTTCAAATCTTTTAGAAACCATGTTTATCACATTTCATCAATAATATTTGCCACAGTGTGATAGTAGCACCCCCATTTTTGGAGTGGCAAATTTGATATTTGTGTGTTCCTTGCATAAGAGTTACAGAGCTATTTGGAGCTGATTCCACCTTCCTTTCTTCTGTCTCTGAAGGCAAAGCAGTTTAAAAACTATAACACTGACATCTCTGGAACTCCAGTCTTCCCTCCTTCCTCCTGTTTCCTTCCTCCAAAGAGCATCATTTCAGATTTTGTAAATGGCCTTGTCTTCAGAGGAAGGAGGGAATTCTATAGACCTCATTATATATATTTAGAAATTGCCTTGCTTTTGAAGAATGAAGGGTGAATCAGACCCAAATGGCCCTGCAGTTTAAAAAACAATAAAAACAAACAGAAACTGACTAGTTGTTTTGAGGCTGGATCATCTCTCCTCTTTCTCCCCTTTGAGAAATAAGGCATTTAATTTTTGTGAAGCAAAACCCACAGAAAATAGAGAATCAAAGGCAGATGTCCCCCCCCCCCTTTTTTTTTTTTTTTGTGCAGGGGCATCAACAAGTTTGAAATTCTTGATTTTTTTTATATACCGGTATATGTTGCCTGCTTGGTTTCCATTGTAAGAGGCCTTTGTTTCTATTTGTTTTCAGTGCAGTTAAGTTAGAACAGAACCTTGCAGCTGATGTCTAGGGCTCTGGATTTCCAAAACCTTTTCAATCAACTATCCAAAAGATGGTGGAGGATCCTCATCCATTTTGTGTCCTAGCTTTCAGTGGGGTTCCCCCGATCCGTTTCGACTGAACTTTTCCAGCCTGCTGACCCAAGGGGAAAGGCCAGCCCAGTAACTTATTTTATTTTTAAAGGCTTTTTAAAAGGGGTTTTTTTTGTGTCCCAGTGCCCTGCTGGAAAGTCCAGCAGGGCATGTGGACACCCCACCCCCCAGAAAAGCACGTACTTTCTGGATGTGGGTGGACTAGAAGCCGGGAACAATCGTGTTTTTAAAATGCAATTTTCCCAAGTTAAAGGGATATCTGGAACCACACTGGGTTGTTTCAGAATTTTATAAATAGAGAAAAATCCAATATAGCTAGGTGTTATACCAAAATTTGTGGACAATTCCACATTCGTAGCATTCATATTTTATTGTTTTTTATTTTATTGTGACTGTGGATACAACCTTCAATGAGTCTCTTCCCTACCTACTATTAATGAAATATGAGACACAGACAGCATTCTCTCTATATTGCTATTGCTGTTTCGCCTTTCCATTGTTTTCACCTTCTATCTTATCAGTCTAAAAGCCAGTGAGCAAGTAATTGGTTCCTCTCTCTTTTCTTCATCGGTGTTTGTCGTATTTCTCAATCTAGACTTCTGAGAAATGAACTGAAGACTACTTATTATCCCTTCATTTAGGCCATGCCAGGTAGACGCTACCTAATGCATTACTTTCTAAAATGGTCTCTGGCTCTGGAAACCATCTGGAAAGTTAAACGATTTAAAAGTATCAGCCAGCACTGTTAACAAAAACCTTAAAATACAAGGTGTAATCCTAGATCACTTGCTGCAAAGTTGTCTGTTAGAATCTCACATGAAAGGTTTTATGGAGTAAAGATTTAAAAGGAAGAATATAAACCGTGAGCATTTGCTGATGATTTGGTGATTACTTAAAAAAAATAATTTAAATGAATGTAAGTTTTCATGAGAAAGTTAAAAGATTTTGGAACTTTAGCTGGATTTAAAATGAATACACAGAAAACAAAGGTTTTAACCAAACATTGGATATAAAAGATCAGGAAAAAATTGTCAGGTTTAACAAGTTTTAAAATAGAAAAAGATATGAAGTGTCACTTTGATGAATTGAAATAGATTACTGTTTCAAAATAACTGAAAACTTATAGATACATATTTTAAGACCTATTATGGCGGGATAAGTTACAATTGTCATTATTAGGCCAACTTTCTGTGATAAAAATGAATGTATTGCCAAGGATTTTGTTTATTTTTCAAACAATTCCTGTGATAGAAACAGATAAACCATTTAAACAATGGCAAAAGGATATATCTAAATTTGTACAGCAGGGGAAGAAGCCAAGAATTAAATTTAAGGTGTTTCAAGATGCATAAGAATGTGGTGAGCTAGGTGCACATGATCTGAAACTTTATTTTGTTGCTTGTTGTTTAGTTTGAATAAAAGACTAGAATTTGTTGAATAACACAAACTTATTGGATGTAGAAGGACATGATTTAAGGTATAGTTGGCATGGTTACATGTGGTATGACAAAATGAAAGAGAATGTGGACTTTTAAATCATTATGTTAGACATGCCTTGTTATGAATATGGGAGATATATTGATCAAACTTATGCCAAAGATGTGGGTATCTGTGCAAGAAGCATTCTATAGAAAAGACACACAAGGCAAGAAGAAATGATTAACCTACCAAGACCTTTTAGAAAATGTACAAGAGTTAAAACAAGAGCACAACTGATTGCAGAGGGTTTTGGTTTTCAGTGAGATTTTTATTTATAGTTAGAGCAATATTTAGGTAAGACATTATTTGATTTTGAACTGAGTAAATCAGAATTTAAATTGCAATTGTGTACTACTGATGAACATTTAATTGCTAAGATGTGTAAAATGTTATGAAATGGGAATTGACAGAGGAACACGCTAAAGAATGAATTATTAAGTAAGCACAAAATGTTCGGCACAATATACTGTCAGATCTATGGGGGAAATGTGGAATAAAGGGTGAAAATTGACATTATGTTGCAATTTAAAAGAAAATTTCCATAAAACAATGCACTGATGGTATACAACTCTTGAAAAGCTCTCTAAAATGTTTAAAGAGGTTTCCAAGATTTATTGAAAATTTAATCAACAGGTAGAGTCATTTTACCATATGTGGTGGACATGTAATTATGTCAAGAAATACTGGATTAAAATCTATAAATTAAGTGAGAAATTTTTTGGGGAAAGTATCCAGTTAAAATTTGAGACTTGGACTGATTGATGTTAATAACTATGGTAGACTGTTGCAATATATGATCACAGGAGCAAGATTGTTCCATGAGCGATTCAACAATACCAACAACAGAAACTGGATGATAAAAATGATGGAGATGAATAAACTAGCTTGCTTAGTAAAAGAAGAGATATTAGGAAAAAATTGAATGCTTGGAAAAAATTTATTGACATTTTGCATGCAGAAGTAAAAAAAAATACCAATTTTAAGTTTTAAAAACTAATTTGAAAAGTGTTTTTGCTCGAGAAAAGAGTCAACACTAAAAAATAAAACCCAAACGGTGATGGCTATCTTATTCTTTGTAGCAGAATGAAGCTATATTGGAAGTCAGCTACTTTTCTCTTTCCTTTTTATTGACTTTCTTTGCTCTATGTTTCTTTATGCTTTCTCTCTTTTTCTTAGCACATGTTATATTTTAATTCTATACTGATCTTAATTCTGTATTAAAGGAGGGCTTCCTTCAGTAAAGGAGTACCGATTGAACTAAGGAAGACCAAGGAACTCTGGAATAAGGATGGTTCAGCAGTAAAACAGAACTGATTCTCAACTTCTTACAACTATTTGAGATCAAAATGTTGGATATTACAAAACTACATCTTTAACAAAATATATTTTATTGTCAAGATAATGAATAAGAATAAAGAAATATCAATTATGACTGATGACCAAGGAAAATGCATACCCCCATGATACTAATCACTCACCTGGTCCTTGAATGTGTTGTCTTCTGAATGATCAGTATGGTCTTGGGAAAAAGAAGCGGTGTTATGGTTCACAGCAATATTTGGATCCGCCACAGAAAAAACAGGAATGAGAGGGCGGAGAAATCTAAAATCAC